GCAGCCACCGTGGATAGTCAACGAAGAGGATCACTGATCCCGGTTCCTGCAGCATCTCCTCGATTGCTACGTCGCCGGTGCTGTTGCGTCTGGTTTCGTTGCTCATCATCCACCAGTATTCCAGCATCTGCGAAAGACCGAACTCTCGCCGAGTACGTCTACGAATGTCGTGTCAGGGCTGTAAATAGAGACTTTACATTCTGCCAGATATTTTATTTATCTTGATACTTTTGGGGGGAGAACCCTTTAAAATATAATAATCAACAGCATATAAATTGTATATAAATTGTTATTATATATATATATATATAATCTATTTTATCCATCATAAAAGATTACATAATATAGAGTGATTTAACCCTTATAATCACATTGAGTCAAAATGACTCGAGCATTTTGTGAAAAATTTAATTTTAACACTAAAAAAAATCGTAAACATGTATTAGAATTTAGCGTGAAAGACAACGTATATGTTTCACGCTAAATTCTAATACATGTTTACGATTTTTTTAGTGTTAAAATTAAATTTTTCACAAAAACGCCGCTGTTTCATTTTCTTAAAGGAAATTACATACTATTTTTTTTTTAAATCATTGCAACTAATGCTGTTGATTTGGTAACACTTTAAAGATGGGTCGGGTCATTTTAACCCAGAGTAACCATCGTGTGGCTTTTTAGAAGTGTGATGAAGGATTAAACGACCGTAATTACTTTCTAAAACTTTTAGAGTGAATCTCATTTAGAAGGATAAAATCTCACTCTTTGGAGGGAGATTCCACTTTAAAGAATTTAGAAAGTAGTAATTATTATCATGTCGTGATTAAGCGATACTTTGTCACCTTCGCAAAAATTATGCATTATATATTACATTGTTTAATATAATTATACATTAGTATGTAATTAAGGAAGTTTCTCGGTAAGAGATGTGCTCAAGAATTTACATAACTCTAGGCTAGAAATGTACGTATTTTTTTTTCCTTAATTCTTCGTTGTGTTGTACACGATCCTGTTTAACGACCGACACATGTTTTGTCGTTTCAGAGGCGTGAATTTTGCACACCATTCGCGCGTGTTATGTGTTAGGCCCAGCACGCCTCTTTTTTCTTCCAACGGTGCCAGTGCGTCGGAAAGGAACAGAGAGATCTATTTTCGCCACCTGAGACGATAAACTCTTTCGCGAAAGAGTAAACTCTCAGACGTTTCTATGGTCCAAATCGACCTCGCGCGACCTGTAGTCTCGCAGAGTATCGATGGTCAGTTCATTACAGTCTGTATAGTCGTGAATCATTGCCGACAGCCATATCAATTTTCGCACACAAATTAAATCGCTTTCACTAGGTGCATTGAAATGAGCGAACAAAAACGTAGTATAAACATTAAAAATTAACAACATACTGTCTGTTTTGTTATCGATAAACTTTCTGAATTGGTGAACCTTATCAAGGAATACATAAAAATCAACAAAAAAATCAAAATTACTTCATTTTCATTCTTAACATCAATAAACAGTCAATGATTTTTATGAATCATTTTGATTTTCTCTTGATTTGATGTTTCTTAAGACCGGTGCAATAAATTGAAGTAAAATAAATGTAGTTTGTTTAATTCACTTCATAACTTATTGCACTGTATATACCAATTCAGGGAGTTCATCGATAAAGAACAGACGGACAATGGTAAATGTTTTAACGCGATTTTATATCTTCAACCATTTAACAAAAGAATTGTTTTAAAGAAATAACAGAAATTCCAGGTTTTTATTCCGTTTCACGACATTACGCTTACCTTTATGAAAATAAAAAACACTGATCCTGATTCATCAACAGCGATGATTACCGATAATGATTTGAGATCTTTGTGGCGATCTTTTCTCGCTCCTTTCGAAACCGGGATGACGTTAGTCGCGTCTCCGATTTATACCTCGTCTTACCGATTCTCATCGTGACTTTGGCATTGCAGACTCAAGTGGTTTCTTCTGGGAAGCTATAAATTTCATCTATCGCAATTTCTTGATATTATCGGTGCGATATATTCACGGTAACGAGATTTAACGAGAAGATCTGCTTTTATGATGGAGTTATTCAAATTTATTTGCTAATTCGTGACACGGCAAGGAAACACAAAAAGAAGGAATAGAATTAACAGATCATGCGAACGAAGCGGATCTGGTAAAATTCACGAATGGACTGGCGGAATTATTAGCAAGAATCAGTGTGTATACAAGAGTATGCACTTTTCGCGGATACTGCGCTTGCGCCAAATTTGACTCCTCCTTTTATTCCTCTGTCGAGATAATTTCCTTTTAAAAATTGATTTTGTAATTGGAAGACATTGTTTTTACTTCTTCTATTTATTATAATAGAAATTTTTTGCGACGTATCGCAATGTAATATAAAAGATAATTGCGTTAAATTTTACAAAAATAAAATAACCACCGAATGAGGATGCCGATCGTCAATCTTATTATAAACAATTTATTGTGTAAATTGGGATGTTACGTGGTCGACGACATGGTAGCGAAAGTGTTAAAACGGTGCCAGCCATCCCATGTCGCTGATATGCCACTTGTGGTAAAGCACCTACATGTCTGATCGGGAGCGTACCGTCCCCTGGAAACCGTGGCGAGAGCGTCCCTACATCCTTTTTAAAAATAATTGCATTTTGTTTGTAGTGGGAGTGAGGGGGAGACTTCCAGCTGCGCACAAACGATCGCGAGCGGAAGCGTGCGAGTCGGAAGTGCGTTTCCCCATTTCGCTGCTTGTCCGAGTTCTGAGGATCGCTGAAATCTCCGACTATAAGAATTATAGTAGTAAAAATGTACTAAATTTCCATAAATACTTGTTTGAATAGTTCTAACTAAATATTTACTAAATGTAAGCATATATTTGTTTAATGCAAGAACCATCAATTTGATTTAAGTATCATTTTTTTTAGTAAATATTTATTTACTGTAAATTTTAGATTAATAGAATTCATGAAAAAATCTATCTGTGAAAGAATATCTAGTAATCGCAATTAGTGGGTTATGTATACAATTTATTAATGCTTCAAGTAATATAAGAAATTAATTAATTCATTATCTCTGAACGAAATTTATCCCTTGATGTTTTTTCCCATTACATATTTTCGATTAATCGAAAATTAGTCTTTCTTTATTATATAAACATGATGGCTGATCATTCTTTAACTCTTTACAATAATCTCTCTGCTTTGTGATGATTGATATTTTTTTAATCTATCATATTACATATCTATTGCTGACCGGAAGAGCATCCGGCAAATCTAGGACGCTGCACAAACGTATTATATCCATAAATGGATTGATTGTTATATTTGACATAAATAAATTACACTGATATCATTTTTCTCTTACAAAGAATAGAAAATAGATTTTGAATAGAGCGGAAAAGTCAAAGTTTTGGACGATGGAATTAATTCCGGACAACTACGACTGGATGCGGGTCTCCTTTGTGATGCGTGAAACTAACGAGACGTTTGATTAGTCATACCAATTAATGCCATCGGTCGGTTCCACTTCGTTAGGTTTAATTCACTCTCCTCGCCGTGTCTTCAGTTTCTTACGTAATAAACGCGCCCACTGAATAAAGAATGACGATCTTAGATATCAGTTGACCGCGAGTAGGTTCGCGGTTACTCGAATATCCTTCTTACGCGAATTTGGTACCAAATATGGTTCGCCATGAGTTTACATGTATAATATTGCGGTTTGTACTTATCATCATGAGATAGTTAATTTCTAATCGGTTAGCTTATTCCGTTTAAGTTATTTTTATTTTATTTGGTATATCTTTAACAATTTTTAAAAGTAAATACTCTTTTAAAAATTTTCTTCTAAAATCTTGTTTAAACGTAATAAAATAAATAAAATTAATTGTCTCATTTATTTATATTATATAAGTACAATTAAGTATATTATATTATATGTATTGTATATACATACTATATTATATAATTTTGTAATACTTACATTGTTATATCTACTTTAATATAGTATTTCATTGTTTGTGATTATTAACACTCTTGTTGTTATATTGGTATATGTACCTCTAATGCCTCGTACATATCCGCGTATGACTCACGAGTTTGACGCGCGATGGCCTTTTCTTTCTTTGAAGGATGTTTGTTTTTTTTTACATTATAAATGACTGTAAGTAATCTTGTAGGTAATCAAGACATAAATAAAAATTATGTCAAAGTAAGATAAGAAACATTTTAATCTCTTTTTCAATAGAGATACTTATAAGACTGAAGGTAAACATTTCTTCATACTACGATATTTCTTAAATTACTTCAAGGAAAGCTTTACGAAACGATTAATCGATCAAGATTTGTAATTTACATCGTCCTAATTAATTGAAAGAACGCGATATATCGCAGTTGCAGCACATTCCGTGCAATTTAGAAAGAAGCAGGCCGATGTGTTGCAGATGTGACATCGCACACACCGCTATGTTCGTCATCGAGCCCACACCGAGCCGCTCCCCCGCAACTCCCTCTTCTCTGCCAACATCTTTTCTTCCTCCTCCTGCGGTCGCCCTACTCACGGGGCCCGTATCTAGTGTGTGTACAATCTGACGGAATGCTGGATAAGCAGTAGTCCATTCACGGTGACGCTGACGCATACACGGTGCCTGAGCAACACCGGTGGTTCACGCCGGTGGTGCCCAAGTCGGCCCAGTCCCCGTAGAATCGATTGCGCGCAATCGAATTCGCGAGTCGTCCGGATTACAACGAGCGAAGCCGGAGATATATTAGCCGATGAAGAAGTAAACAAGATAGTTAAAAATAAAATTTGGAATAAAATCTATTAATTGGAACAAGTGCGCTCCTGCGAATGATAACAAATGGGATCAGCTTCCTTTCGAAGAAAAGAACGTCAAGAACTCTATGAAAATCGGTTGAAAACTTAGCGAAATGAAGTTCCTGCGAGAAAATTAAAGAAAAACAATTATATAACAGAACGGAGAAGAAAAGAAAATATTTGATTAATATCGGATCGATAGATTAATTGATATCAAATCAAATTTGTACTAGTCAACTATCATCAAAGAAGACTGACGACCGAGAAGAAAATTGTTGCATGCCTTGAAACAGTCATATAATCAATTCTCAGTTTAACATATCATGAAGTGACTTTTAATCGCCTCTTACGAGGACATAGGCAAAGACGCATTGAAGAGGAAAGCTGTTGTTGAATTGAAAATTCCTGTCATATTCTTCAGTCAACAAAAGTCAACAGATTTCTCTCTCACTCTTTGATTATCTGGTTCGATGACAAACTTATGGCTAGTTCAAGATAAGAATAGCTAACGAGCGGTAAGTGACGAAATATATTCTAATTTATTTTCGTGTATTATCTATTCTTGTCTTTCTCAACTTTTACAACATGTCAATTCATGATATATTAATTTAATTAATGATTAAAATCACATTTCACGAAATGTAACCGATTTCCACAATTTAATTGCACAAAGTTTCAACTTAAAGGAAGATGAAATAAGATTATAAATAATTGCTCGCATATTCGATTAACTGATTCTTTAAAAAAATGTTATCCCACTTGATCGTAATCATGGTTTTCACTCGCATGAGTCCTCTCGATCTCAAGGGCGGTGTTGGTCTGCGATCTTGTGGGACCATTGCCGAGAACCGGGCAAAAAAGCGTGGCGAGTTGATGGTCCCGAGGGGCAATTTAGAAACGTGACGTGGAGAGAATTATGACGCATGGTGTAGTATTCAATTAGCTGGATCGTACCGAAAGTTAATGCGAAAATGGATCTTCAAGCAATTATAAATGAGTATACGAATACTTATTAAACACAATTATTCAAATTCCGAAGATGATTAATATTTCATAAATAATAATTAATATTTCAGAAATATTGTAGATTTTTAAAAATTCTATGATAATGATTTATGAAGAGAGATCATAGGATTTTTAAAAATCTTCAATATTTCTGAAATATTAATTATTATTTATGAATCATTTATTAATCATCTTTGAATAATCTGGAATTTGAATATCACTCGTTTTTCCATATTTGTGATACATATAAATTTTTTTTAATAAACTAAAAATCTCCGTAAATAAATTCATGTAAAAAATAATAGTTATAAGAAAACGTTACGTTTTAAATCAGTCAGCATGGATATTTTAATGTCACCCGGAGTATAACATATTTGGCGCTAAATGTACAGTATGAATAGCACGACACATGTTTTGTGTCGTACGTGCAGACATTTGACATCCACACCACGTGGTGATCTCGTGAGCGAGAGTTGTCGCGACTCGATTGACTTTCAACAATCCTGCACTCAACCCGCGCTCATATATCTTTTCGCATATTCGATATTTATTCATTTATATCTCGAGATCACAGATTATATCGTTAAAACAACGTAAAAAGCATTTTGCAAACTCAATAAAGATCATATAATAATCTACTTATTACTTACTTTTATTTTTTTTTATCGATTTATTTATTCTTATCGTCTAATTTTAATGAATAATTATTAATAATAATTTTGTATAAGTGCGATTCGTTTAATTAAATATTCTCTTCAACGGATGAAGTTGTGAATAAGCATTTCAAGGCAATGATATTGGCATGTTATTCGATGTTAATTTATATCTGAGAAGTTAAATCGACGGGTTCCAATCTGAAGTATTACACGAGCTGATATAATCCCCTAATAAAAGTAAATCCGCGTGCAATTAAGGTTTAAACGCGCCTCTGATCGGTGAGGTGCAACGAGACGCGGATCGACGATGCATCGACGACTCGCGCCGACTCGGTCTATGTACTTTCACCGTGACTCAACTTGACTCATTCATTGCCATTCGCCGTATGATTAACACGGAAATCATTCAGTGACGTCAATTCGTCGCCGAGAACTTCCACGGAACAAAAAATAATTTGCGGTTTTATGCCGCGTCTTCTTCTGTCAACGACGGTCCGATTAAGTCTCGCTTATCGAATCAAATTTATTGCGTAAATGATATCAAAATCAAATACGCGCCTATTTCGAAGTCATATATCTGCCATCCGATCAGACTATTCAATTATATGACGATATTCTGCCTGATAAAATTATATCTGTGTAGTAGTAAAAGAATAAATGAGCCTTTAATGTTAATTCTAATAGAAATCACCGCAGTAATTACCAATACAGATTTTCCGCTTATGTTATTTAAACGTGACCGCATCATGACGATAGCAACTGTTTATCTTGATACAAACGAAGTCACGTTTAAAAATAATGTCTTTTAAATTTAATGTTTTAATTTTTTAAATTAATTGCTTTTGTTAAATTTGATCTTTTTTGTCTTAATAGTTAATTTTTTCACATAATATTTTCAGTTTCCCCGAAAGTTTCTTCTGATAACAATTTAGTGCGGTTATGATAATATCAAATATTTCGACAAAATGTATAAAACGAGATAGCGACGCGACGCGTTAATGCGTTCCCATGTCTTTCGTGGCTTTCAAAGTTTTTTTGTCATGAGGGGACGCCTAGTACCGGGTGTCCGTTAATTTCCCTTAATTAAACTTAATCGGGGTTAATGCACCGCGGCTTGACCCCAGTTTACCAAATCTAACGCACCCTCCGTAACTATGCGTTTACACATAGATCATAATCACTAATCGATAAAGGGATTATTCGCGATTCTCCATCGCGATTCCTGAAATTAATGTAAGCGAGAATGTACATACTTTTCAAATCTATAGATGATTTCTCGTAAATTTATTGAAAATGTTTTGAAACTATAACATACTTATATTATAATGGCATTACAATATAAAAACTTAAAATTATATAATTATACATTTATTATTTTTTACATTGAATTAATAAAATACATTTATGAATAATATGAAATTAATTAGATAATTTGATAATTTAGATAGATAATTTGAAGAAATATAGCAATAATAATGTCAACACTTAAAAGAAATTATTTAAATTGATAAAATTGATACGTGCCTATCGCGAGTTTGTAATAACGAGTCGTTACACATGTTTCAATAACACAAGTGACTCATACATCGGTGACCCGCAATACATGTCATTAGTAAACTTAGTTACTTAGCGTGGCTACGATCGAACGGTCGGAGACAGAATAAGAAAGATAAATCGCACGACTTATAGATTCTTAAGTGTACTAATTGCTATGTGAATTCGAATGCCTGAAAAATGACGTGAAACATTTCAACACAGGTCACAGACATCACAGCTGTATTGTTCAAATAGAAAACTTGTTCCACCTTAATTAGTATTCGTTTGTAATTAAAAAGAATACTTATAACAAACTTCTTCCTAGCGATCATTAATGATCGTAATTATCGAAAAAACATAGCACGAGGCAAATATAATCGCAGTAAGAAATATATAGATTGATAGGATTATAATTATTGAAATCTAGAATTAATTTCAATAATTTAAACTATTTAGAGTACTAATGAATCATTTAACTTAATTTTTAATTATTTGTGAAATATTTTAGAACTGTGTGTGCGTGTGTGTGTGATCGGAGTGATATTGATATACTGAAAAATAGAGAATTATAGTGGTGTCGTTCATCGTGAGAGTCTCGCATTGTCCTTCGTAAATTCTCCGGACGGCCCATTTCCGTCGGTGGCGCCCTTCGTCATGAGCCCATAAATAACAATAAATTCTTACGGCCTGTCTTTCCAAACGTAAGATTGTTCTCCAACCGTTGTCTACGTCGGAGAATTATTTTAATGCGCAGAATCGCACGCGCGGAATTTGCATAACGTAAATGTCAGACGTCCCACACGTCTTTAGACAATCGTTTTTGCGATTCATTCACTTAGAGTCTTCAGTATCTTTAGGAATAGATATGATATATTCGGGATAGGAAATGCGGCTTATATTGAAATAAAAAGAATAAAGAAGGAAGCATACTGAAATTTGACTGCGTATAAAGAAACAAATATAGCATATGTCATATTTAAAGTCCTTTTTAATTACTGAGAATAATTATATTTTTAATAATAGATTTGATACATTTGTATTTAGAAAATTATTACAGTTCTTAATGAGTTTTACTTTTTATTAATAAATCTTATAAGAATATATTAAAATTTGATAAATATTTATTTCATGCTCTTATGAATCTTGTTGAATTACAATAAAACAAATGATTAATTCGGTGCCACGCATTTCTCAGAATGCATGTTGCATTTCAAGAAACAGCTGTTTTGAAATAAATGCGTCGTGTTACATCCGTTTTGCGTCAGATCGCTTCGAACAAATGCGTCGCGTCGTGCCGGAATTTTAGATCGCGGTTTCCTCTTCGGGAATCCCATGTCTGTTTCTTTTATGCGCCTCACCGTAATGTTGCAATCGTGTTCCCTGGCACGCTAATCATTGCTGATCACGAAGACGGTAAATAGTAATATTAATTAATTAATATTTGTTAGATAACGAGATACCGCGATCTAAGTTTAAGATATTCCAGTCTTATTGTTTTCGCTAAAATGCACGTGTTCTAAACTACGAGACTTACAATTATAGTCATCCACTTTAGTCATGCGTTAAGCCGCGTTTAGACGATACTGTAACTTCGTATGTCCATTCTTTCGTATACTCAATATTTTTCTTCCACTATTCTATCAGAGAAGAAATGAATTAAAAATGTTCGATTATTTCCAAATGTCAATATCTATATCTCTCTCTCCATGCAGATTTCTTTATATAAATAATTATGTTTATAAACATCCAACGTCTTATACTATATCGCAATTAAGTATTTCTTTAAACTGATTAAAAGTTCTGTATTTATATCCTCCACTGCATAAGACAATACATAAATATAAACAAAAAACTATAGTTTTAAAAAAGCCGTTTTTTTTTCAAATTGCTGGAAAAAATTTCGATTTTTTTCCGGAAAATTGGTTTTTTGGAAAAATTGCTGTTTTTGCTATGTAAAAGACATAATAAGTAACTTCTAAATTCCTTTATAAAATTATTGCGATCTATGAAATTATGTAGCATTATTTTTATTAAAATTTTTTAGTTATCCTTCTATTTTTATAGTAAAACCTAATCTAACCTTCCTTTAATACATGGCAAAGCTTAAGTAGACAGATTTTTAACTCTAGTTTGCCACACTCCG